CTACACAATGAAATTTAAACCAAAACCACAGAATTTTAAATTCTGTAAAATAAAAGAAACAAGAATTGTAACTTTTATTTCTAATTAATTTGAAAATAAAATAAAATTTTATTTAACCAAATTAATTCCACACAGAAAATTAAATTTCTGTAACACTTCAATAATTAAAATACTGAAACAAAATTTTAATTAATGAACACTCAGAAATAATTTCTGAAAACCAAAATTAATTTCTGACAAAATTCTACAAATAAATATTCTGAATTGTTAATGACACCAGTATATTACTACTATTGTCAAAGAAAATAGACAGTATATTACTACTATCTGTCAAATAGTATATTACTACTATTTATTTTCCAACCAGAATATTATTTTGTAAAATCATAGAAAATAATTTTTGTAAGAAGAAGAAAGAAGAAAGGAAACAAACGAAAAATTCTGTAAACAGAATAATTCGAATCTGTCTTAATATTATTGGAACAATCTTCTATGTACAATAAATAAATTGAAACCAAATCAAACAAATAAAATAAATAACTTGCTGAATTTGTTTTACCAAACTGAATAAATAATAAAAAGATCAAGTCGAGTGTGTGACACTCTATCCTTAAGACAGATTCGCCCCGCTACGGTGCATACGGTTAACTGGCGTCTATCTTGTAGGATACAATGATCTTCTTAAATTGTAGTAGCACTTTAAATAATTTGTTCGACGAACAAAACCTTTTGTTCTATGCTCTCTTTATTTTTCCTTAAAAAACTAATATGAAGAGTATTTATGCAAAGAGCAAAACTGGACAACAAAGTGAAACTTTTAGATTATTTTTTGGATCATCAAACTGCTGGAACAATGTTGGTATTTATAGGCAAAATAATCTGCCTGAACAGGTGCAAATTTTGAATGAACAGATGCAGTCCAAAATTCAATGGATCTGCTGGACAAATTGATCTGTGTAAATTTAGCAGCTATAAGCAGTTAACCAGGAGATAAAAATGGACAAAAAATTAATTCAATTTTTGGCACAAAATTTTTTCATTAAAAAAGACCTAACCCACACTCGTGTCCCGTTGGACAAACGACAGCGGTCGCATGTGGTGGTTTGGGCTAAGGTTCATTTTGTCCATAACTCCTCCCTTCTACAAACTTGGGGTGTCCTTTGGGGCCCAACCCAAGTGTTGCAATATAGAGCTTATATACATACATAAGTTCTCCTCAAGTTTCAATGTGGGACAACCCATTTTAAGGAAACCCACATTTACTTTTTTAATTGTCCATTTCATGAACCCGAAAACGACATTAACTTCCCATTCACTCATAAATGGTTTTGATGAACTGCCTTCACCGTGCGACTTACCATATGGTAAGGAACACGTCACCTCTTCGAACCTACCCCAAAAAACGTTTGGGGCCCACTCAAACGTAACACTCTAAACGTAATAAAGTAACATTCCAAAAATACTTCTGTGTACTTTTAATAACTTAAACGTAACACGCTAATGTAATATACTAAAAAACTCCTTATACTTTTCTTAAACGTAACATTCTAAAATAGCTCATCAGTGTATTTCTCCCAAACGTAATACTCTAATCAATGTAACACACAAAAACTCCTTAGTGTACTTTTTCTAAGCGTAGCACTTTAATATAACACCTCAACGTAACAAAAACGTAAATTTTCACGCTCGACAACTAACACTTCAGCTACCAATCCATCCAAAAAGAATCTTCCACACCTTATCTTTCTACTCTCATCTTAAAAATGAATCAAAAAATTAGAAAAATAAATCACGAAAGAGCATTCACTTAAACTCAAATGGTATCAAATTAAATAAATACAATTTCTTAAAACAAAAAAGGCTAATTGATTCATAAGAAAATTCTTAAAATTAAATAGATTAATATTCCCTCCTATAAGATTTATGAGTAAATTTTTCAAAGAAAAACTCAATTCATGAGTTTCATGACAAAGAAAATTAAGAAAACAAAGAAAAGAGTTAACAAAATCTATAAAACAGCAATAATCAAAATCTCTATCAACATTGGTCAAATGAATGCATCAACGTTAAGGGCTCAATAAGTTTTAGACCTTTTTTTAAAAAATATTTTTTCACCTTCTTTTCCTGATTTAAGACAATTTAATTTTATTTAAGTGTATGACTTGTTTGGCAATAAGCAAGCTTTTTAGAAGGAAACCAAAAAAATAATAAAAATTGGGTAAAATACTAATAAATTTTAAAATATGATATTATGAATTATTTAATATTTTTTTTTTATGAACACAAAGGTCTCATTAAAGTAAAAATTAAACAAAATAGTAGTCACTAACAAGTTTGGATTTAATTTTGAGGGATAAAGTAAGTTTCTCCAAATGTGAAATTACACATTTGGGCAATTCACACTATAGAAGTTTTGGATTTTCTCTCATTCTAAAATAAATCTCACATTACGAATAAGAATGTAACACTCCAATGTAAAACTCTAATAACGTAACACTCCAATGTAATACATTAAAAAATTTCTTAATATACTTTTTCTAAACGTAACAACGTAACACTCCAGAAAAACTCTTTAATGTACTTTTTTTCCAAACATAACACTCCAATGTAACACAATTTTTTTTCTTTAGTGTACTTTTTCCAAGTGTAACACTCCAATCAATATAATTCCAAATGTAACACTCCAATGTAATACATACAAAAATACTAAAAAAACCTCATTAATATACTTTTCTTAAACGTAACAATCATAGTGTGAAATTATATATTTGTCCAAAGCTTACTAAGGAATTTTTGTACTTCTTTTGAAATGGTTTGAAGAATCTCACATTTTTTTGGAGTGTTACGTTTATGAAAAGGACATTAATAATTTATTTTTTTGTGTTACATTAAAGTGTTATGTCTGAGAAAAATATACTAAGTACTTTTTTTTGGGTGTTTCATTGAAGTGTTACGTTTGAGTGTTATATTAGAATGTTACAGTTTAAAATTATACATTTGTCCAAAACTTATTAAGGAGTTTTTGTACTCCTTTTGAAATGTTTGAAGAATCACATATCCTTTTGAAATGTTTAAAGAATCTCATATTTCAAGTCAATTTTTTTACTCTTTTTGAAATGTTTGAAAAATCTCATATTTCAAGTCGTTCTAAATAAAAAAGATTTCCATATAAAAACTCATCCTAAATTTGATTCCCATAAGTTGTGTATCTTACTTTGCTAGCACAAGAAAAAAAATAAAAGAGGAAAAAAAGAAAAAGAGAAGGGAACATAATAGAAATAAGGATTTAACCGTAAACTCAATTTCAAAATAATATATTAAATCTACATTTCCAAAATCAATGGAATTAATTGATTTATAAAAAATTTCTTGAAACTAAACGAATCACCATTATTCAAGATGAGATTTATAGGTAAATTTTTCTATTTAAATGATCAAAAATTTTTTTTTTTTATTTATTTTTATAACAGTGATCTACATAGCAAACTTATGAACCACAAGTTTCACCGTTTTGGCAACAAGGTGGTGCAAATTTTGCCATATAGAGGGAGAGCTGTTTTTAAAAAAATACTTAGCCGTCTATTTTTTTAAAACAGGAAATGTGATAAAATAAAAATATTATAATTTTTATTATTTTTTATATCTATCTTTTTTTTTCTTTTTCTTTTTTCTTTTTTTTTTCTCTCTAGAGATGATATACATGGAAGACTTTATATAAAATGGACAGTTGATATTAGAAATGGACTATGCCAAATCGTCCTACAGACCCAAACAGTATTCTTAAATTCAGATGAAACTATCATAATCCCTCGTTACAATGACTTGACATTTGAGCCCCGGAGGTGATTTCCATATTTGGATTTTCACACCTTGGAATGTAGCAATTTTGGATGAAACATGATAGAGGAGTGACTCCTTTTGCTTTTTAATTCCATACAAAACTAACCAACTTAACACGCTGACATGATACTCTCATACCAATAATAACAGTAGTTATGAAATGGGTGGAGACAAATTGATCCATTTTGGCTGGCTAGGTGGGAGATAAAGTTATGAAAGAGCTGAATCAAACTCAGTAGTAGGTCATTCAAACTTTGTTTCTTTTCCTTTCGAAAAGATCTAAATCAGCCTTTAATCAATCACAAGCTCATGAGTTTGAGCAGTTTGATTTTTTTTCTCTGATGTGTAGAATTTTATTGAGCCAAACTCAGAAAATTAATGAACCGTGCTTGAACAAATTTTAACTAGCTGAAAATGAATGACTTTGTTCGTTTTACAGTCCTAGTAGAAGATATAAGGTCTATTCCATCCATCCTCTTTTGAGCTAGCGATCTAATGTGATTGGCCATTGTTTTCTTATTTTTCATCAATGAGATGTGACAACTGTAACATTCGCACAAAGTTGGAAACTTGAATGAGCAAGGAAATCTCCCTAGCTAGAAGTAATATATACATAACAGGGCAGAGAGGCCTTTAGGCATTGTTCAAATCTGAATTTCCTCTGAAGATTATATAAGTTTTCTCAAATTAGTATAATCCAAACCCCAAATTTCAATGAAGCATCGTGTTGGTGGATGATAATTTCTTGTTAGGAATGAAAGTTTGGAACGCGATCAATGCAAATTTTCCCACATCATGCATTGCTCCCAGACCAGGCTTCATTTTTCACATAAGCTGTCAGACAATCAACAAAAAGGTATATATGTATATATATCCCATAATTCTGATTCTATATGTTAAGTATTGCCTCTCTTTGTCCTCGCTTTAGCATAAGTTTTGTATTTTATTTTTAATGGCCTTAATTTTATTGTGTTTAGTTATTTATGTATGGTAATGAATCTGTTGATCATTTTTTATTTATATTTAGCCTGGCTTCATTCATACCATAAGTTTGGAAGTAATTAAAACGATGACTGTTTTCAAACTCGTTATATAGTTTTTGTTTCCCAATATGTGAATAGTCCAAAAAGAAAAACTGAAAACTTAGAAAATAGAAACAATACCAAACAAACCAGATCTTCATATGCTCTTTATGCTTGGGAAACAGAAAGCTGTTCAAAGAATCAAATGCTATTCCTTGGAAAAAAGAAAAAAAAAATAGAAGGTTTCGTAAATCACTAATGATCTATCAACATTTCAACCATATTAAATGATAAGAAGCTAATTTCTACTTCTTGAAACTTATTGTATTTATCATAATGCTTAAGAAAAGTTGGAAACAGAATTTAAGAACAGAGTGGTAGTTCCCATACGTGAAAACACTTACTTCTGCAGCCCTTAAACGCCACGCTGATCATATTTAAGGCTAGCTGAAAATGGCTGCAACTTCAAGCTCTATGTTGAGGGAGGGACTTTTTTTTCTATATTTATTCTATTTAAGGCCTAAAAGCCAAAGACAGCCCGAGCTTTGCGCTCCTCATCACATCCCAGACATCCACATCTCCGGCTACAGTCAATAAGAACGATGGAAACAACTCTTGCTGAACGAGGGCGCCTAGTCTTCCATTGCTGCTCGCGCGTGCTTTCACCAACGTAATTGGAAAAAACGCGTGTTGGGTGCCAAAAGTGAGCGTAGTCTCATTTCTCAAGAATTTATGAGTCAGCTCTGCTGCTATGGCGGTATCTGTTAGAGGACTTATCGTGTGGTGACATGAGGCCCTCAACGTGTCACCCTTGTCATTCCTGCATTATTTTCAATCATAAGTGTATCGATCACGTTTAATAGCGAATAATTGTTAGTCTCTCGTTTTTTTTAGTAAATATTGTTTTCTTGATGATTTGCATTTATTTTTGAAATTTTTAGTAGAATGCAGAAAAGGAGATTACAAGGTCAAGGAAGTGATGAGGATGGCAGTGTTGAAGCTGAGACCGGCGTTGTATTTGGCAAATTGCCTCGCCCCAACATCAAAAGAGATGTCGGTACCAATGGAGAAAAAACCGCTCCCTAAAACACCCGAGAAATTTAGGAGGGGTGTTGTTGTCAAACCGGCGCCTGCACTGATTCCAACGTAATCATGCAAGTATTGCAATTCCACCTATTATCACAATCACCATTGCACTATGAGTGAAGTGACATTAAATTTAGTTGGCAAACTGTTTTCAAAAAAAAAAATTTGAAATCAGACCCAATTTTTTAGGAACTCTAAAATATTGTTTTTGAATTTTGAAAACTGCTTTTGCACAAAATGACAACATTACGTAAACTATGCTTTCCCTTTCGTTGTTTATATTTCCAAAATACGAAAACAAAAACAAGAAGGGCAATGAATTGGCAGAATGTTCTCGCCTTGTTTTGATATGGTATGATAAACCTAAAAGCTGTCCTGAGTCCGGGCACAATGTCATTAACTGCAAGATTAGCAAGGTTCATGAATAATTTGAACTCATCAATTCAATGGTGTGCAGAATTATAAAAGAGTTCATAGTACAAACTAACTTTGATTTTCATGGGTTTTTTTGGGGTAATATTACTAGGTTTACAATAAGCATCAATTGGTCATACATTAATATACATTTTTGATTCTATGGAAAGACATGAAATGAAAATAACAATGGAGGAAAAAACTTGTTAATGTATATATGGTATATATTCCTATGTATATTAGGTATTGATTTTCTAGATATATTAGGTATAATCATAGTTAAGCCTCTGTTTGGCAAGTTAGTTTTCAGGCTTTTTTGGCTATTTTAGTCACAAAAAACAAAATAGGCTATTTTAGCCATAACAAACAAAACATCACATCCAACCCATAATCATTACATTCTTCTCTCACAAAAAAAGTCAAAAAAGCCAAAAAGCCAAAAAGCCAAAAAGCCAACCCACTTCCCAAACCAAGCCTTAGATTTCTTATAGGATACTCTTTCTCTCTCTCTCTAATATTCTAATATGGCATCAGAGCAATAGATTAAGCTCTTGGTGTTCTTCGCCTTACTGGCGGGTAGCAACCTTGCCTTGGCCGCCCCCCGGACCTCAAATCATTTTGCTGCTATATTTTCTTTACATTATCGTTTCATGGTGATCTCTTCCTCTATCCGCTTGTTTATTCCTACTTCAAATATTTCTATCATTTTTTTTTTTGTTTTTTTGTTTTTTACTCGTAATACATTTTTTTTTCCTCCACTCAATCTTAACCTCAAATTGATTTCTATCTTCAACCCTATTTGAGTTTGAGGAAGGTATTATACCTATATCATGGTGAACATGGTTATACACCATGCAAACCATCTAGCCGCCTCCTTTAACGCATAATCCAAGCCGCACTCTCTGGCACACAACCCAAGCCACCCCTCTCTGGCGCACAATCCAAGTCGCTTCCTCTGGTGCACCACCAAACTCGCCCCCTGGCACACTATCCAAGCCGCCTCCTAGCGCACTCAGTCATCTGTTGCCGTCATCGTTCAACACTACATCATAAGTTATGTGTGTGCCACGTTTGCTGGTTCAACATCCAGTCTCTACAACGGTCTGGCATGACCTCGTAAACTGTCCCGACATTGATTCCGGTTAGCTCCTACATTGATCCAACATGACCCCTTTAAACTGTCCTGACATTAGTTCCAACCAGTTCCTACAATGGTCCAACACCACCATAAACTGTTTCTCAGCATTAGTTCCAGCCAGTTTCTATATCGGTCAGGTATGACCTTAAATTGTCCTGGCATTAGTTTCAGCTAGTTCCTACAATGGTTCGACATGACCATAAACTGTCTCCTGGCTTTAGTTCCGGCCTCTGATCTATTTCAAGCGCCTTTGTGCTCCCGTTCGGATTTTGCAATTTATTTGCCTTTTATTTCATATTTTAGTTTATCTCTCCAAACTTAAGATGTTTATACTCTTTGAGTTTGAGGGGAATGTTAATGTATATATGATTATATATTCCTATATATATATATATATATTAAGTATTGATTTCCTAGATATATTAGGTATTGCCATAGTTAGGTCTCTTATAGATACTCTTTCTCATAGTTAGATGTATTGTAGGATGCTCTTTTTCAGCCTATATATATAGGCTTTCTATTGTATAGGACAATTTATTCAATACAATACATTCAATACAATACATATTTTCTTCTCTCTCTACTATTCTAACAAAACTAAAGCAAAAATGAAAGATTAAAAAGAGATTTACTTCGACACGACAAATCAAAACTCCAATTAAAGTATCCGTAGTGATAATGAACTGGTGGTTGTTGAGCATAACCCTTGTAGAGAAGATCTGAAAAAAAAAAAAGCAAACAAAAACAAAAACAATGAGAGAGAGAGAGAGAGAATTTGTTTGGAGTTTTCAAGAAAATTTTCTAAAAACATCCCACTTTTAAGCATTTGAAAATTTTCTAAAAACAGCTCATTGTTTTCGAATTTTTGAAAACTGTTTTCCCACAATAATAAAAAATATATATGAAAATGATGCGTGTTTTCGAAAACACGAAAACAAAAATAAAGAAAACAAAAGCCTGGTGAAGTTTTTGTCCTCTACTTCCATTAGGTTGCTAAGAAGTGCATAGTAGAAAACACTTCCATTTGATTGCTAAGAAAGTCATTAGACTGAAAACAAAATCAAATGTTTTGTTCCCTTTCATTCCCCTCTATTTTCTTAGCAACCAAACGGGTCCGTACTAAAAAACAAAGGGAAGAACAAAAGATGATATTACCTCTAGCTTTTTTGCCGATGTCATGATAGATACCTGGACTCTTGCTCATTCTATTTCTAACTTAAATGGAAGTTCAAAATTTTTACTCTTTATGTTTCTTTGTTTGGCTGGCAAGAAAATTTATGTATTGGAAATGAAAGAGAAAAAACCAAAGGGGAAGAAGCTTCCTCACTAGATGACATTAGTGGAAACTTCCAAGAATCCATTAAACTTCACTTCATGGCCCAAGTTGGATTACTCATCTACAGAGAAATTGGATTTTTTTGTTTTCTTTTATACAAACAGAGTAAATGCTAATCTCCTAATATCCATTGTTTTCTCTCTCAAGTTTTTATTGAATTGAACGTTGGACGGCATTTGGTAAGGGCACTCATGAGTGTCATAAGGGCATTTTGCAACGAGACGAGGAAGGAAGAGATCCGATCCTTCACCATTTAGCCCAATCCATCATCATTTAATCTAGACCATAAGTCATCTACTTACTGATATCATCAATATTCACTTTCATTTGTTATCGTGCTCGGTTGTTGTATCTCCTCTATTCAAATGACCTATAGTATTTTCACTTTCATTCCTAGTTGATTTAATTTAATTACAAAAAACATGCAAATCTTGTCATTGCTAATGATGTCTTACTGTATTATGAGGTGGGGGTGTTTAATTTTCTATGGAAATGTAGTGGCAAAGTAAAAGCGATAGTGCATTGAAACATAAATAAATAATTTTAAAAAAAAAAGACAACGAAGGGTGAATATGAATTTTTTTTTACCTTGCACATCGTACATGGTCCACTAATTTCCTAATTATGCACAAATATTCAGAGAAATAGTAATAAGTCCCATGTCATAATCAAACTTTTAGATTGCTGAGCAAGTTTAAGCGAATTGCTTCTTTGTGACTCCAAATTTGAGATTTCATTTGTGTGCACTAGAGAGCGATTGTGTTGCGTATTGTAAAAGGTTGCCTAGCTACACAACAATTTGATGAAACTTCACCATAAGCAAATTCCAAATCCACTTTCAAGAGTTTTCTTATGTGTTGTATGATGAAAAATTAGCAGAGTTGTACCTTGCAAAATTTCGACTTGGTTTGGCCTTTTGCATCATTCTCCTAGGTGTGATTTTCCGAGTGAATGGATAGGTAGAGAAAGTGATGCATTCATACCCGAAATGGGCCTGAGCGATATGCTTGGTGAAGCCTAGCTTTAGGGGTGTAGGTTTGGAGTCCGGATTCCCTCCTTGCAACTCCTCCTTGCAATCCTCCTTGCAACGGCTGAGATCAGCTGTTGCAACATCCAACGGCTGAGATTAGCTGCTAAAGAAATTGAAATCAACCATTGGATGTTACAACAGCTGATCTCAACCGTTGCAAGGAGGATTGCAAAGAGGAGTTGCAAGGAGGGGATCCCAACTCGTAAATTTGGCCTGACTTGGCCCATATCGGGCCTTGCAGGCTCCCTCCAAAATTCGGGCCGAAACACAGGTTAGAAAATTAGGCTCAGGCTTAGGAGTATTCGAGCCTTGAGTGGGTCGGTCGGCTTGGACCCGGGCTCGGGCCTGAACAATTTTTTTTGTTTTTTTTTTTAATTTTTTTAACCAAAATTTTATTATTTTTCACTAAAAAAGACACCAGGTCTTGGGCGGGCCGAGCCTCGGGTCTTGAGTGGGCCTTAAGCAGGCCGATGAGTCAGACTTCAAAATGATGGCCCAAGCCCAGGCCTAAGGTCTCGGTTTGGGCCTAAATGGGCCGAGCCACCCGGGGCCACGTGCGGGCTTCAGACCGTCCACGGACCGCGGGCCATTTTTACATTCTTACCTAGCTTGAATAGGATGGCCCAATCAATCTACAATCCAATGAAACCGTGTGGTTAAATCAAAATGTCAACCCAAGCCAACTTCAGGGATCAAATCAGGCTGGGCTAGACTATAAGATTGAACACAGATCATGAGTAAAAATGAAGTCTAGATATTCTCTCATCTTAAGCATCGCTTGTGAATGGAAGACTAGTAATGTATACACAACCCAAAATGAGCCTGGCCTATGGACATGGCTTTTGGAACTGACTTATTGGCCGAACTCAACTTGGTTTGAATAGATTAGCACGAACAGTTTACGGACACGAGGTCCACACCACACAAACTCATCTATCGCCAAAGCTCAACTAAACATTGTTTGTACTTTCTACTCAACTGACTTCAAGGTTGGCTCAAGGGCTCTTGGAATAGTCTGGTCACCTAAGACTGATTTCCTTGTGATTCACCTTTTACTCAAATTTTAAACAACATATGGACAATTAAAAGAACCAAGGCCAAATTTGATTAAAATGTGCAAAAACTGCTCACATTTGCAATAGCTATGGTCAGTAGTACAATGATAGGGGTGTCTAAGAGCATCTTCATCAAGCTTTTCAAACTTTATTTTTTAGCTAAAAACTTCAAAAAATCATCTACATCAAACTTGCGTGCAGCTCGTCAAAATTTATGATTGGTACAGTAACTCATTATAACAAGTAAGGCACTGTTCATCGCTATTTGTGTGTTACTGGATGTCTGCCCGGACGTCCGGCTAGTCAATGGGTTAACAGCAAATATATATATTTTTTTAAAGAATTGTTTGGCTGGTAACTTATCAATTTAATAAAAAAAGAAAGATTAACAAACATAATAAGAAAATAATATTTAATAAGAATAAGTTAGAATAAAGAGTTTGATATAGTAAGTACTAAAAGGTGAGTAGCTAAAATAATGAAATAGCTTTAATTTAACTAAACAATTAAAGAGTTTGGTGTGGATGCTCAAAGGAGCATTTGAGAGCAAGCTAAATAAAGTTAAAAATTAACTTTTAACTCATTTTAAATTATATCACCCCTCACATAAAGAAAAAAAAAAAAAATCAAGTTTTAACTAACTTCCCAAATCAACACTAAACCATTCCAATGCTCTTAATACTTTCTTTTTTTTGGGTACAACGGAAACTAAAACAAAACAAGAGGAACTAAGTCCTCTCCCTAGACAAACCGATCATGTCTGAGACTAGCAGACATCTTAGTTCAGCTGGTGGATCATTGAACACGAGCATATCTTCTGGTTGGTTGGCTCCCATTTTTGCCAGGGCATCGGCACATAAATTAGGGCTGAGCAAGAAATTCATGAAATCCGTAATCCAATCCAGTCTAGTCCGATCCAGTCCAGTCCAATCCAGTAGGTTTGGATTGGTTTTTTGAATCCGTGGTTCGGTTCCGGATTGAAAAATTAAAAATCCGTAGTTCACGGATTGGTTCTGGATTGAACCCCACGGTTCTGGATTGGAACCAATCCGGACCGTATACAAATAGGCTATATTTTTATTATATACCCTCCTGCATAGTATTTTCTCTTATTTTATATAAAATTTAAATCCAAACCTAAACTCACATAGTATCTTCTTTTATTATTTTTGTTTGCTAGTTTTTAATGTTAATTTGTAATGGTCTAAATACTTATGGTGGAACCAGTTTTTTTATGGTTGTTTAAATTCTAGAACAGTATGTAGCTATTATGAAAAGACATGTTGTTATTGTGAAACTAATATGGTGCTATAATTATATTTTTATGAAATTAAAGTGTTATATATATTTTTTTGTTATTTAATTATGTAAATCCGTGGTCCTAAACTGATCCAATCCGTGTTTAAATGGATTGGTTCGAATTGGTTCCATGATTTGAATGGATTGGATTGGTTTCAATTTTTCAGGAACCGTAGATAATGGATTAGTCCTGGTTTTACCCAAATCTGGTCCAATCCGGACCGTGCTCACCTCTAACATAAATTCCCTTCTTTCCAAACGTGTTGCACAGAGCACTCACAGCCTCTGAGGAAAATTTGAGCTTCGCGTACCAGGTCCTTAAAGGGTGTTTTGTCACCTGGGTCCTCATGCATCAGCTTCACTATTTGGTCTGCGTTGGTTTCGATGATTACTTGGTTCATTCCTTTTTGCAATATTACAGTCAATCCTTTGTAAAGAGCCCACAGCTCAGCTTCAACACTGGTGCCACTTTGCAACTTTCCGTAGAATCCACACACCCAAGCTCCTCTTTCATCTCTAATCAGCCCTCTAAAGCCTTCATCACCTCCAATGCTTCTGTTGCCATCAGTGTTCATTTTGAGTCTACCTGCAGGAGGCAAGGACCAATGGAATAGTCTAAAGGCAGGTCTAAGATTGGATATGGAATGAAGAAAAGCTTGGTGTATTTCTCTAGAGTAATTCATAATAAATTTAACACTTTCTTGGGTTGGAAATTTTTTTTTCTCAAACACCATAGAGTTCCTGTTCTTCCAGATTTTCCATAAGGCAACAGTAAAGATAGATTGCCAAGAAGTGTTATCATTGAACATAAGTTTGTTTTTTGCATTACTCTTGAGCCATTCCATCCAATTTTCCCTCAGCATATCCAAATACCATTATTTGTTAAAAATAGCTAACCACACTTCCTTAGCTTTGAAACAGTCTCTAAAAAGGTGAGACATATCCTCCACCCCACAACAGTGAGGACATGTAGGATCAGTTGTCAAACCCTTTTTAAGCCTCATTTGGTTTGTAAGCAGTTTTCCATGGAGCACAGTCCAAAGAAAACCTTTCAATTTTTGAGGCAATCTCATTTTCCATATCCAACCCTAATCCTCCTCATTCTCATGGTTGCCAAGAATGAGATTATACATAGATGCAACAATGAATGAGCCATCAGTTGTACCCTTCCACAAGGGGTTGTCTATCTCCAAAGAAGATGGTTGAGGATTTTCCAGTATCAAAGAGGCAATAGCAGGAGAGAAAAGGCTGTTAATCTTATTCTCATTCCAGCTGCCATCAGAATTAGACAGTTCATTAATAGTAGCAGGGAGAGTAAGTGCACTGTGGTTGTTTTGGTTAGTGTGGGTTTCAAGGTCTGCAAAGGCCTTAGTTCCACACCACCAATCTTTCCACACATTCACATGTAACCTATTGCCAATTTTCCATTTCACACCATTTCTCAAAATGTGTCTAGTTTGCATAATGCCCCTCCATAAATGGGAGGCTCTTTTGCCCTTAGGCCAATTATAAAGAGATGTGTTTTTCAAATATTTAGCTTTAAGCATTTCACACCACATACCTTCTTTGT